CATCAGTACACACTTTAAAAACAATCAGACAATTTAGCTGTCACTTAGGTGATTTAATAGTTAGACTCTTGGACTTGGAGCCTCAGCCTCAGTTTCCTTATCCATGCAATGGGAATAGTACCTACTTCATATGGTTGTCGTGAAGATTGAAAGAATAAACGTGTAAAGTACTTTGCAAATCTTAGATCAATATGTAAGTGTTAGCTATTATTATCACGGGGAGAGAAAGTTTGTTGTTGGAAGGAAAAGGTCTCTGGAGAGGGTAGTTAAAGTGGGTTAGGGTTGAGAACACTGGACTTGTAGTCAGGAGACCTGGGTTCAAGTCTCAGCTATGATATTTACCAGAGGGGCAATTTTGGGAGAGTCTCACTGATTGCCAGTTTCATTTCTCTTCACCTCTAAACCTGACACAGGAAATCTAGCACTATGTACTACATGGAGTTGGTTTAAGCATCAAAAGACAATGCAAAGTACCCTATAACTATAAACATTACATAAATATCAGCTACTATTGGAGAATAGAATTCTAAGGGGTCAGGGGTTAACACTGAGTGAAGATGAGTTAGCTGCCCTCTGTCTTAGGTCAGAGGGAGATGGGTCCATTGTTTACTTCCCAATCCCCACCAAGGCTGGTCTTATTCTATTCCATGGCAAGCTCCAGTTGGTCCTTGGGAACTCTTGTGGATTTAGGAAGGACTCATGAAGAAGAGAATGCAAGACCAAAGCCAGATTTTTTTCCAAAGCTCTATGCCAGGCATTCCACAACATCTGAGTCCAAGGTGAGTCTGGAAAGCTAGATGAAGGCACATCAAGCTTGCCCAGGTGCTCAGCAGACCTGCTACAACTTCCACATCTGAATTCCATCTCTCCAAAAATTAGGAAGAGTTCAGTGGATTCTAACACTTCGGGAAATGAGCCTATCAGGGTGTTCACAGGGATCATAGCTGATTAATAAATGTCTGGGGAATCAACTTGTTGTAGTCAATTGAATTGGTAGCTCTGGGTGGTAATGAAAATAAAAAGCACACCCAGTAACAACTGATATGGATAAAGCTTAAGATAAAATAGAAGTTGGGTGGGGACTGGCTGATGTCCTGCTGTAAAAACCAGGCCTTAGGCAGATGCAGAGAAAAAGTGTGATCTCTTCCTAGCATCTCTCCCTAAAGGAGCAATACAGGCCGAGTACATGAACCACACAGCTCAAATTGCCTTATATTCCCCCCACACACACACACACACAAAACATGATCAAATTCATCCACAGCCAAAAGATTCAATGCCTGGGTCTCCCACACAATGCAGCCGGCAGTATATCTCTAGATAACACAAATAAATGTTTATGGACTAGTTACATGGGAAGAAAGGAAGGAAACAAGCACTAATTAAGCACTTAGTGTGTACAACACTGTGCTAAGCACTTTACAATATTACATTTAATCCTCACAACAACCCTGGGAATAGTATTATTATCATCCCATTTAACAGTTGGGAAAACCTAAGCAGATAGAAGTTAAGTGAATTGTCCAGGGTCACACAGCTAGTAAGTGTCTGAGGCCAGTTTTGAACTCAGGTCTTCGTAACTCCAAGCCTAGCTCTCTATCCACTGTACCATCTAGCTGCCTCCAATATCGGTTGGTTCCCATTTTAACAAAGATAACATCTAGTCCTCTACAATGAGGCTGCCATGGGGCTCCATAAATATGTATTCCATAGGATCAGTGGCCTTTAGAGATTTAAGAGATGTTAAAAGAGAGAGATCTAGGCCAATTCTAATTTTTCAAATGAGGAAACTGAGGCCTGGAGAAGTGATCTGCCAAAGGTCACACAGGCAGTAAGTGTCTGAGCTCCAGAGTCAGAGGGTGACATCCAGTCTCTGAGGTTTATTCCTTGTATGTCCCTAGTTTAGACTAGATGGCTTCTGAGATCCCTTAGAGAGACATCTTTGACCCTATGATTCTGGCTCATCTGTTGACATGATGTTCAGCACCCTTTCTATTATAATTATTGGCTTAACTGGTTATGCCATTGAAAAGGATAAAGTGAAATTAATCTGCCCTTCTCTTTCAGATTCCTGATTTTGCTCTTTTAGTATATTTCCCTTCCTAGCCTTTCACAGGCTAACCAAAGGAAAGGTGTGGGTCTTGGAATAAACACAAGGGTTTAGCCATGGATTAGAAGAATTACAAAATTTTGGTTATAAGTAAATAGCTTGTGGCTACTTCTCTCTCTTTCTCACTTCCTTCAGTAAACAGGCAAGCTCAAACATGGTGGATAGAAAGCTGGTCTCAGAACCAGAAAAGCTTGGCTTCATGTCCTGCTTCTAACACAGACCGACTGTGTGACCTTGGGCAAGTCAGCATCTCTCTTGAAGGCTTGTAGTTTCAGAGAGTGGTGTTGGACTGCATCATAGATGGAGTTTTTTCCTCCAGGAGTCCCCTAAATGACTAAAATCTCTAGTCTACCCAGTCCTTAATTCTTTAAGCTTTCTTAAACACCATTCTCTTGCTCAGAAATGTTTAGTGTTCATATTGTCTAGAAAAAAAAGTTCAAATTTATTTACTTAAACCTACCATTCAAACCCTCTGTAGTATGAACCTAACCAACTTTCCTGGCCTTATATCCTCTCATTCTGAATAGCTGGAGAACTCCTGATCCATTAAAACTAAATGACAAGCGTGTCAGTGATTTTTTTTTTTAGCAGCACATTATCTGGGTTGTAAAGGGAGAATATTTTGAAAAAACTTCAGGTCACTTCAGATTTTGGAATGAGAAAACATTTGGTTCTGAAAGTTTCAAAAGTAACTGAAGTTACTTCATTCCTTAGGGATTCTGGGTGGTACTTTTGCTAATTCTCAGTGTAGAATTATTCTTTCAAGTCCACACTCTGACTGTGGAGGAATTGCAGGAATGGAGTCCTCAAGAAGAATTTTGTCAGGGTTAAAAAAAAAAAGGCTCTTAGCAGGATCTAGCCTATGAAAAGTCAGGGGTTCTTGACTTTTTTTTTCTTTTGTAATATAGATCCCTTTGGCAAGCTGGCAAAGCCTATGAACTAATTTTTATAATAAAAATATTAATTAAAGAAAATAGTGAATTTCAGATTAAGATGTATTAGTTTTTCTCATTAAGTTCACAGAGCCTCTAAAATCTAACCAAAGACAGTTTGGGAATCCATGGATCCCAAATTAAGAATGTTTACTCTAGAACAACAAAGAATGAAACCATTCCCTCTTTCAAATTACACATCCTTCAAACATTTGGAGATAGTTAATATATGTCCTCAGTACAGAAAAGAAGACGGTAATGGAAGGAAAAAACATGACCTAAAGACACAGCTCACTTTAGGGTGCCCTAATTTCTGTTTGTTCATTTTTTGTTCTCAGACCTTTGGCTACTGTGTTTGGAGAATTTCCAACTTTTTTGACTTTGCTCACTGTCTGGGCTCAAACCTTTAACTTCAGGGGCGCCATAGAAAGATCATGGGCTCTTGGGTTAGGAGAACTAGGTTCAAATCCCTTTGGTCACCTGCTACCTGTGTGATCATCATTTAAGCTCTCTAGGTCTCATTTTCCTCATCTATAAAATGAGTGGGCTGGACTCTACGGTCACGCTCTATGGCCTGTCTCATCTGTGGGTCCAGCCCTTTTATACCCACATGATCTCTTCCATTGCTTCTAGCAACTATAGAGTAGAACAAAGTGTACACGTAGGCATCTAAACCAAATACTGCATGCTTTGAGATCAAAAAGTTCTTTTCCCAAAGCTCGTGAAATTAAATTAATCTTTTAATAACTATGTTGGGCTGTGTGATGATGTGAAACTTGCACGGACTCATGGCCTGGTCGGGCCTTCAACGCTTGTAGAACCAGAGGGGCAGAGATGAGGGACGTGGTTAGTCCTTACAAATAGCTCTCCAAGCAACCTTAGTCAAACACTTGATCCACTGTTGTGTTTCTTCTCTGCGACTGATGACCGATTTCTTGACTTATTCCTTGGTTTGAGATCAATGGCAAATTTTCCACTCCCCTTTCCATCCTGCATCCTGCAAATGGCCTGATCACTGGCCTCTGACACTGGTCACTCCCTGTCTGAACAACCTGTTTATAAATGGGGGACTGCTTATAATCAGCTTCTAAAAGGCTGGCCTTGCAAAACCAAGCCAAACATGAGTTCTTTTGTATTTGAGTCAGACTATCTGGCCCTGCCATCTCTCAAATTCTGTGATTCTGTTAAGTGATGCCACATGTCAAATCACTAAAAAGACCTTAGCTATTCTTTAGTCGTGTTTCAGTCGTGTCCAAGTCTTTATGACCCCTTTGGGATTTTCTTGGCAAAGATACTAGAGTGGCTTGTCATTTTCTTCTCCAGTTTATTTTACATATGAGGAAACTGAGGCAAACAGGGTTAAGTGACTTGCCCAGGGTCACACAGCTATTAAGTATCTGAGGCTGGATTTAAACTCAGGTGTTCCTGACTCCAGGCCCAACACTCTATCTATTGCACCACTTAGCTGCCCCAAAAAAGAGCTCTTCCTTTCAATTACTAAAAACATCAATTGCCAGTAAGCACATTTAATTTAAGGGCATTTAAAGCTATGGCTCATTTTAAGGTTCTATTGGTATCTAAATACATTAACTAAATCCTTAGGAACTTGAAAATTGCTTAATGAATGAAGATTTGTACCATATTTTTGTGTTTGTACCATATTCTCTCAACCCACTGCATACAATCACATGGTCAGTCAATTTCTTCTTGAACACTTACAGAAATGAATTCACTGAAATATAAGATAGGCCAATTTATTTTCAAAAAGTTCTAATTTTTTTTTCAAAAAGTTCTAATTGTTCCAAAGTTATTTCTCATACTGAATTTAAAAAAAAACCTTCCACATAACAACCACTCATTTTCATTTAATCGATAAGCATTTGTTAAATGCTTACTATGCACCAGACACAAGTCCCAGGATATACAAAGACAAAAGCCCCTGCTTTCAAGGAGCTTACCAAGGCGGTAGACTCTGGAAGGATCAGGAAGGATCTTATGTAGGTCATGTTGCTTGAGCTGAGTTTTAAAGGAAGCCAGGGTTCTAAGAGGCAGAGACAAAGAGAAAATTCATTCCTGGAATAGGGGACCGTCTGGACAAAGGCATAGAGACAGACGATGAAATGTAGTGGATGAATTGCAGTCTCTTTTCGGATTACACAGAGTCTTTTGAAAAAGTATTTTAAATATCTAATTTGGCAAGAATCTCACACTAACCATATTTCACATTGTAATTGTACTAATAGCACTAGAAGAGGGTAGATTGGACTGGAGAACATAAGAGTTTCTTTTGAGAATTTTTAAGAATTTCTTTTTTCTTTTGTTGTTACTGTTTTTGCTGTTCAGTCATGTCCAACCCTTTGTGACCCCATTTGGGGTTCCCTTGGCAAAGATACTGGAGTGGCTTGCCATTTCCTTCTACAGCTCATTTTACAGATGAGGAAACTGAGGCAAACAAGGTTAAGTGACTTGGTCAGGGTCACACAGCTAATGAAATGTCTGAGGCCAAATTTGAACTCAGGTCTTCCTGACTCCAGGCCCAGCATTCTATTTACTGCACCCACCTACCTGCTCCAGAGTCTCACCATATAGGAGCTAGTCTTAGTGCAGACACTTGATTAGTTTTAGTTCTATTGCAGTTCAGAAATTCTGAACTCAAGTGATCCACCACTCTTTTCATTGCCATTCTTTTACTTGATAATAAAAAAGTTTAATTAAAGGAAGATGGGCTTAACTACTGAAATTTTCTTCTGATGATACCGATTGTGAAGTATACAACTGCTGTTAAGGATATATGCAGTTAAAAATCAGTTAGCTATAGAATTTGATTGGAATTTATTCTTTAAAAAAATTCTTTCAAAGCTTCCCTATATATGAAGATGTAACACCATTTCTCCATGTTGTATAATGATGGAGGCTGGTGTAATGGTCTTAGGATACATAAATTGGACTACTTAGAAGTGATGTTGCCTCAAAATGAGGCTCTTTTCTTACTGTTGTAAATAACCCTACTTGGACTGGGGCCAACACAAGTCATACTTTATCTTGTATTATGTATCTATGGAACATGATGTTATAAAGAGATTCCAATAAATTCCTTCATTTTGTAAAGCCACCTGCACCCAAGCTGGGTAACAGAATGCCTCAGCCATTCATTAATTCCTAAGGACTCTCACACAATAGGATAATGAACTTTGATTGACAGCACTAAAACTCCATGACACGCTCTCTTTTAAAAATGTTATTTTTCCCTAGTCTATCTCTATGACATAATACCTTACCTACATCATCACCATCATCATTATTTTTTTTTTAAGAGCCTGGGTCTCCCTCTCTTGCCCACACTGGAAGCGCAGTGGCCACTCACAGGCCTGATCTGGTTGCTGGCCAGAACCAAAGTTTCACCCTCCTTATTCTTCTAACCGGGGCTGGTTTGCCCCTCCTTAGCAGCCTGATGACTCCTGGCTGGTCTTAGTGCAGACACTTGATTGGTTTAGCCCCCTTTCAATTCAGAAATCCTGAACTCAAGTGAGCCCCCAGCCTCAGTTCTGTGGCAGCAGGGACTATAGGTGTGCATCTATGCCTAGCCCTACCGATTCTATTAATACTGTGTGGGACAGCGACCCCAACCCAAATTAAACTCAGAGACCTCGTGGTGTAAAGTAAAGGTTACCTTTATTACAATCTCGCGAGATGGCTGTCTGCTCCTTCGATACACGTGGAGAGAGGGAGAGAGGGAGGAGGGGAGGGAGAGGGAGAGAGGGGAGGGGAAGGGAGAGGGAGAGGGAGAGAGGGAGGGAGAGAGGGAAGGAGAGAGGGAGAGAGGGAGAGAGGGAGGGAGGAGGGAGAGAGGGAGAGAGGGAGAGAGGGAGGGAGGGAGAGGGGGAGAGGGAGGGAGAGGGAGAGGGAGAGGGAGAGGGGGAAGGGGAGGGGGAGGGGGAGCGGGAGGGGGAGGGGGAGGGAGAGATATGGAGTAACGGGGGCCGCCTTATGAAAGCAAATCTCCTCCCACCGCAAACAAGCCTCCACCCACCACGCAAACAAGTTTCCACCCACCACTATCCCTCACCCCCTTACCTGGGGGTGGGCTTACATTCTAAGCTCGAAAGTTTCTTCCTATCCTCTTACCTGGGAGGTGAGGCTTACATTATAGGCTTGAAATTCAAAGACAAGGAAAGAGGCCGGAAGCTCAGGTTGGGGGTGGGGCAGGGCTTATTCTTCCTGTTAAGTGCTTAAAAACGGGGTCTAAGTGGGGGAGGATTTTGAAAGTAATAATATCAAGAATTATTTGACCCTTTGAGGAGCCTTCCCTTCTGAGAGTTCATTTCTCACACTACCTTCTGAACTCATTACCTTAATTACACTGAGAAGTCTTCACTGGGACATCCCATTCAATACAATCAGGAAAAAAAAGTTTAATTAGACAGTCAAGTAAAATACCAGATTTAGAGAAAGTCTTTTCTCATGCTTATTGACCTCTCTGCACCACAACCTTCTTTTTCTGGAAACTCTCTCATGTCTGGGGTTGGTTGATAAGTTTGTTTGTTTTGACTCTCTTTTCTTGGTTCTCCTCCTGCTTGTATGACTGAACCTTCCTCACCTACAGGAGCTATCAAGCCAGAGATGGTAAGGAAAACGGTCAGAAAGAGATGACAGGGGACCCCTGTGGTAACACTGGGAGCAGGACTAGGTGCTGCTTAGCAACTCTAATGACTATACTAATTTCTGGGTCACAGTTCCAGGGTGTAGAGGAGTGCTTGCAGCCCCTAGGAAGCAGGGGGCCTGAAGAGCAGTAGTGATTTTGGTCCCAAGAAAGCAGAGGCCCTCAGGAGCAGCACTGCTTTCAGCTGCAAGGATCAGAGTCCCTTTCTGGGGAAGGACCAGAATGCATACCAGGAAAGTAGTCACCATACCTTTCCCTGGATCATACCACCTTGGAAGCACTGAAAAATTCCAAAGCCCAAGAATTAGCTCTGAAAACAGCAAAGCAAATAAAGCTTGAAACTCAGGACAGTGTCCCCTCCAATCTACTCCTGTCCCAGGAAGAGAGCCACCTTTAACATAAAGTTCAAAGTAAAAAAAAAAGAACAGTCTGGGAAAAAAATCTGATCATAAAAGGCTACTATGGTAACAGGAGGATCAAGACATAAATTCAAAAGAAGACAATGATTCAAAACAACCACAAGCAAAGCACCAAATTAAAAAAATATCAATTGGACACAAGAGCAACAGCAATTCTTGGAAGTGCTAAAAAAATTATTTTAAAAATCAAAAAAGGGTGCTAGAGGAAAATTGAGAAAAGAAATAACTTTCCACTCTCAGAGCTAGATAAATCTAACCATGAAATAAATAAAAAAGAAGTTAAGAAGATGAATAGAATTTTAGAAAAGTTAGATATGATAGGCCTCAAGAAAATTAAATAGGAATAAAAAGAAGTATATCTTTTTCTTAGATGTACATGGCTTCTTCACAAAAATTGGCCATGTATTGGGGGCATAAAAACCTCATAAAGCAGAAACATTACATGAACCTTTTTTAGACCACAATGCAACAAAAATTATATTCAATGAAAGAATATCCAAAACAAAACTCATCATCTTCCCTCCCCCCCAAAAAACCTTCCATCTTCTGAACTTCCCTATTACTGTTAAGGATACCAGTATGCTTCCAGTCTCTCGGGTTTAAAATGTCCAATTGATTGCCAAATCTTGTAATTGCTTTTTTTTTTTTACATCTCTCACATATGTCTCCTTTTGTCACTCATACAACTATCACTCTAGATTAGGTCCACAATAATGGTTTAATGTGTTAACTCTTCTGGATATTTGTTTCAGAATCCATTACTTTGACCCCAAAAATGTTTTTAATGGTGGAAATTTCAAAAATTACGGGAGCTGTGAATATATTCATTTGACTCAGCAGACTTTTAATTTTCTTTAAACCCAAGGCAATCACTATACTAATGGAGAAAACCAATCCTGTGGAAGTCTAAAAGGAAGGTGACAATGGGGCTCTAATCTTATTCCCTAAAATCAGCTACAGGGTTCCCCAAAGATTATAGTACTTTTGGCAGCTTGCCTGTCTATAACCCATTCTCATGAAAGGAAAATACAAAATTTATGGGTGAAGGAACAGGGTGCCCTCTTTATGAATAATAATAATTATAAACATGTTGCTGGGTGTGGAACTTTGAAAACAGAGTTTATTCATAGCTGGAGAGCTCATTCTAGATTACAGGACTGTAAATAAGGCTGTCATACTCTGGTGATGTGTAATATAGACAAAAGGTCAAAACCTGAACCATAAATTTCCTTGTTTGTTTGACCATTGGGAACATACTTCCCAAATTTAGAATGATTGCCCCAGTTATTATGTACTAGGGGAAGAGGTGTAGGCTCCTTCTTTTGAGCTTTTATGCCAGAAAAAAGAGTTAGGGGTCAGTATCATATTACTAGGATAGGATAAGAAACTTGGACATCAGGATACAGGGAGCAGTAAGGCACAACAATTAGGAAGTGAAACATGAACATAGGTCTGATTTGAATTGTTATTCAAAGAAACAGAGCTCTTCATATGTGGCACACTCTATATTTAGAACACCCTCCTGCAAAAAAAGTTCTCACCTCATTTCCACCACCACTACCACCATCAGCAACAATAACAACAACCACATTTTTTAATGATCAATTTTTGGATTTCACCAAGTAGAGAAGAGGCAGGGAGAATAGTGCAAGTCAAGAATGTACATGATCTCTTCTGGGAACCATGTTGAAGTGGAAGATCTCTGTAGTGGGACACAGAGCTATAAGTAACATGAGGCAAATAAGGCTTTTCCCTAAGATGCTGTGATAGGGGGTGGGAAGTGGGGCGGGAGGGTACGTGCTTACTTCCTGTGATGATGGCTATAGACACTCTTACATCACAGTCTGGGTCACTGGATAGTATAACTACTGCCAGACCAGGAAAGCAGTAGGACCCACTGCCATGATATATGTGCAGCACTTCTTACCGTCCCTTATGTCCTATGATTCTCAAATGCCTCTCCATAACTATTTTTGCCCCAGGTAAAAATATTCCTAGTTATGGCTCTGGAGACATCTGATTGTAGAGCATTTTGAATGCCAAGAGGGGTTGGGGAATCCCTACAGTCCAGATTTATAGACAAAAACTGGTTGGCACAAAAAGGTAGATCCCCAGAAGAAAGGAGCATTCATGGGATCCCTTCATTATGTGACCATAACCAATAACTAGCTCTTCTTTTATCTGACTCTGGTCTGTAGGCTTTATAGGCTTCTGACAAAATAGATTTAAATATTTAGTGCTGGGATAAGATATTTAGAACATTTTTCTTGATCAAAGGCTCTGTTGTACAAACATTACACAGATATACCAGATATTCTCTTTCAAGTAAATTGTCATCTGTCTTCTTCTTTTCCTTACTATGTGCAAGGGACACAGTGTTATAAATGCTTATTGATTTGATTCTCTCTCACACAAAATAATAATGATAATAACAACTAGCATTAATATAGAACCTTAAGGTTTGTAAAATGGGGCTTCACAAATATTTCATCATTACAACAACCCTTGGAGGCAGGTGCTAGTATTAATTCCATTTTACAGATAATAAAACTGAATTAGGCAAGGATTAGGTGATTTGCCTAGTAAGTGTCCGAGGCCATATTTAAACTCAGGTCATCCTGACTCCACCACGCCACCTAGCTGCCTCAAGATCACAAGGTCATAAGGGTGTAGAATGGGAAGAGACCTTGTGATGAATAAGCTATAAAACAGAAATTTCATTGCTTTTGGTCTTTTCTTAGCTAGTAATTCAATTTAATTCGACAAACATTCCCAAGCTCATACCTTAACTTTGGAGGCCAGTAATTTAACTCTCTATTGGCCATAGAAACCAATAAAATGGTAACTAGTGCATTTGCCCCAAAGAACTAATTACCATTTTATTGTTTTTCCCATTCTCCACTTCTAGTTGCCCACAAAAAGACACCATGAAATTTACTGAAGCTATAGGTGTATGGGGTGAGTGTGGGGAGGAGTTGCCCCTCACTCTTTTAAATCCTCTGCTCTAATTGGGCTAATGCTGCTGGCAAACACACATTCTTGGATCTAGTTTATACTTTCCTGGGTCTATTTTACACCAACATGATGCCACCCTGAAGATGCATGCCTAAGAAAACACAGGGAGTATGTTATTCACCCTCCTAGAGCCACTCAACTCCACCTTCCAATCTGGGTTACTGACCAAGCTTTTACCTGACGCCCAGAACCATCCAGAGATGACATTTTGTCATTGCCAAGGGGTCCCTCTGCCCATACCCATAGAAATCAACAGAAGACTTCCTCCTAGGAAACCAGGAGAGGAGTTTGATGTACCCAACATTGATCAAACGGCACGTGAAGGAGCTTTGCTAGATCAGAGGGAATTGGTACTTAGTATTTGTAAGCACTTAGCATTATATAAATACTTATTCCCTTCTCTCCCCTGCCGGCTCTCCTGCCTTCCAGATCATCTGAATAATGAAACATTCCTTTAAGGTGACAAAACATAATGAAATAATCAATACTATGATTTTCTGAGATGTACTTACCAATTTTTCCCAGTCTGTCTTCCATACCCATTCAGTTTCTTTGGGAAGAAAAATTCTTTTGAGTTTTAACCCTCTGTCTTATTTTGTTTTACAGAGTGTAAGTATCTCCTACCATCACTTGTTTGGAATGAAAAGCATAACTCACTCCTTGTGGAGAAATAATCATGCTCATAAAACTTCGTAAAATACTGGCAAACAGAAGAAATACATCTTCCCCCAGGCTTTAATTTACACTCCCTGTTTTCTGTCAAAGAGAGATTCCATTTTAATCTCTTTTTTGGATGATGTTGGCAAAAAAATAATTAATTATCTGCTTAACTCATTCTTTTATTTTTGTAATTGTTCTTAATATTTAGAGGCTGGTGGCAGGAGCCTGCAACACAGGACAACCCCAAATCATGGAATCTCCAGCCCAGGTTTGGAAATTGAAAATGGAGAACTACACTCTCAGCTCTGCCAGTTTGAGACTCTACATTTATTATTGTTGTTCAGTCGCTTGAGTCGTGTCCAACTCTCTGTGACCTCACTTTGGGGTTTTCTTGGCAAAGATACTGGAGTGGTTTGACATTTCCTTCTCCAGCTCATTTTACAGATGAGGAAACTGAGGCAAACAGGGTCAAGTGACTTGCCCAGTGTCACACAGCTACTAAGTTTCTGAGGCCAGATTTGAACTCAGGAAGATGAGTCTTCCTGACTCCAGGCCCAGCACTCTATCCACTGTGCCACCTTGCTGCCCCCAGAGACCATAAATTAAGGGATCTTAAAAACTGCTATGCTGACATTGTAGTTTCTCCAATAAAGATGATTAAGGGACTATCTTGCTTTTATTTGTATCTTCAACTCTTACCACAGTGCCTGACGCATAACAAATCGTGCTTTGTCTATCTTTTATTGTTATCATTCCACCCCTCCTCCCCCATTTTACTGATGAGGAAACTGAGACTGAGAGAGCAACTTGTTTAGAGTCACAACCTTAATGAATGTTTGAGATAGGATGGCTAGAGCTGTATCCCGTATACCACCTACCTGCTGGCTTGCAAGCCAGCTGCTGATACCCTCTTCCACAAAACCCACCCCTACCCCTACCACCATTCTCTAAGGTGTGCAGGGATTCTCCGGGGGCGGGGGAGGGAAGAGTGGTAAACAACTTTGCTACCTTATCATTAGTCCATTCCTTTCTCCTTTTCTCCTCCACTTTCCACTCCCCCACCAAGACATTATCAGTACGTTTCATCCCCCTAGTCCCCGAAAAGGGAGGCTCTTTCAAGGCTCCCAAACTATGTGTTGCTTACAAAAGGGGTTGGTGACTCAATCATTTAATACCTACATATCTCAATTTCTCTCTCATAATCCTCCATTAAATCACAGGGATGACTGGCAGAATGCTTAGGGACTGACAAACACTTCCAAACTTTACCTGTTGTGCTCAGCAATAATCCTGTCTTAGACTGGTTTTGAATACACCTTGCAGATTAAAGGTTCTAGTAGGCTCAGTGGGGAGTTTGATTTGATACCACAAGCCCTGCCTTGTGGTTCTGAGATATGGTAAGCATGCTTCCAGGGCCCTAGGAAATTTCCTAAATGAGTTAAAAAGATTAAATTTCATGAAACTTCTCACTCCTCATAGGATGATACTGTTGGGCCTTCAGGAGTCAGTACTTTTCCTAACTGGCTGACTTAAAGGATTAAAAGTGTCTTCGATCACCCATGCTGTTTGACGGAAGTGGGAGTTATGTGGTATAAATATATTCACATATAATTAATTACTATATAAGAAGTAGCTGGTGTAGTAGATCTCGTTCTAGGTTTGGAATTCTGCCTCTGATGCTTAGTAGCTGAGTAACCTAGGATAAGTCAATTAATCTTGCAAAGACTCCATTTTCTTTAACTGTAAAATGAGGGGACTGGATTAGATCAAAGGTGTCAAAAAAAAAAAAGGCCTGAGTGCACTGAGACTGAATAACATGTAATTGTCTGTGTAGTGTTCAGTCATTTCAGTTGTGTCCCACTCTTTGTGACTCCCTTTTGGGTTTTCTAGGCACTGGAGTGGTTTGCCATTTCCTTCTCTAGCTCATTTTATAGATGAGGAAACCAAGGCAAACAGGGTTAAGTGACTTGCCCAGGGTTATATAGCTGGTAAGTGTCTGGGGCCAGATTTAAACTCAGATCCTCCTGACTCCGGTGCTGGCACTCTATCCACTACACCACCTAGCTGCCTCAAAATGTAACTGGGAAATAGTTAACAAAATAAATAAAAATATAATTAAATATAGATAATATTACATTTTAAAACTAAGTCAATATACGTCCCAGAGGGATCCTTATCTAGGTATTAGTGGCTGGACATTTCTATTTTAGTCAACATCTCTGGATTACAGGACCTCTAAAGTCCACCTCCAGCTATGTCTATGATTTTGTAGCTTCATGGAAAGAACTTTGGAGTAGGAGTCCAGAATACCTGGGTTCTAGTTCCACCTCAGTCACTTTCTAGCTCTGTGACATTTCTTTTCTGAAAAAGAGAGTCGGTTCACCAAACAGCTGCTTACCACCTGAAAGGTACTGAGGTCCTCTCCAGGTGCAGACACAAAGTGCAATGCTCCTGGAGCTTTCGGGCACACAGGGGTCTGTAACATTTGCAAAAATAACTATAATATAAGGATACAAAATTATATTTGAACAAGCAATAATGATGCCTGTCTCAAATATTCTGCAGGGGAGTTGTAAAGATCAAATGAGATCATGTAGGTTAAAGTACTTTGAAAGTATTAAGTACTATGTATACAAGGAATTATAAACTAGAGGCAGTGGATGGTTGTCAATCAGCTTTTTCCATTGTCAATCAGGAGCAGCGAAGTGGTCCAGTGTTTGTATAGAGTGCTGGAGCTGCAATCGGGAAGATCTGAGTTCAAATCTAGCCTCCAACACTTACTAGCTGTGAGACCTTGAGCAAATCTGTTTGCCTTAGTTTCCTTATCTGCAGAATGCCTGGTACATTTGCTATTCAGTTGTTCAGTCATGTCTCACTCTTCGTGATCCCATGGGCCATACCATACCAACACTGTCCATGGGGTTTTTTGGTTTGCCATTTCCTTTTCCAGTGAATAAAAGCAAACAGAAGTTAAATAACTTGCCCAAGGTCACATAGCTACTAAGCATCTGAGTCCAGATTTGAACTCACCAGCACTCTTTCCCCTAGGCCACCTGTCTCACCTGGCACATAGTAGGTGCTATATAAATGCTAGCTATTAATTCAGCTCTTCCATTTTGAACAAATGCCAAACATCTTCTTTCCTTTCTTCAATTCTTCCCTCACCTCCCCTACACTCTTCATTTCTTTTTCTCTTCTCTTCATCTTCTCTTTTTACTTCCTTCTTAAAGCAGTCCAGTGTGGAACACAGGTAGATATTGTCAAAAATGAAAGGAGAGAAGATTTTTAAAAGAATAAGAGAAAAAGAATCAGGCTGAATCTGAATTTAAACCTTGCCAGTTTCAGCTCCCTTTTTTTCTTCTTCTTAAATCCTGATTGGGACATAAAGCTTAACACTTTGCCTTTTGACCTTGTGAAAAAGTCTTAGTATTGTCTTTTGAGGAAGCATCTCCTTTGGTTGTCTCCAAAACTCAAAGTGTAACAGAAAGGCGGCTGGTGCAGTGCAAATGTCACTGAATTTGGAGTCAGATGACCTGAGCTGGAATTCCATCTTCTGCTACTTATCACTTTTATGACCTTGGGCAAGTCACTTGAGTGATCACTCTGGGACTCAGTGTCTTCATCTGTAAGAACAAGGGGTTGTACTAGAATCATCCCCAAGATCTTCTGAGCTTCTAGTCCTATGATCCTAAGCATGATGACCCAAGCCTTCTCTTCTTAGGTGAATCCTTGTCTTACCTCTCCCAATTAATTGTTCTTTGATGCATGCTAGCTGTGGGCCTCTCCTCATCAAACAGCACTTTCTGCTTATATACAGTAACATTGTTCTTTATTTAACTGTAACTCACACTCATGTGAAACAATCTGCTTCTTCACAGGAGCACAGGATGACTATTTTAGGCCTGATCCAGTTATTACTTCAAGAAAAAAAAAATAGCAAAAATATTCTTAGTCCATATTGAGCTTAATATTATCTTTGGTATATTTTACATACTTGTTTTATAATACAATATGATACATATAATAGAAAATTACATGAATGAAGAGAATGGGTGTTTCTCAAGGGAAATATGTTAAAATTTACTCACATTATAGGTGTTAACCATTCCTTGCAACACCTCTTAACAGAGAAGGATATTGAGGCCCAGAGATTAAGAAGTAAGTGTGAGACAGGATTCAAATTGGATCCTCTCATTTAAAATCCAATGCTTTTTTTCTATTGTATTTAACTCCCTCTTTAAGTAGGAAGTTAATAAAGATTTGTAGAATTGAGTTGACTGATGGAGTCATCATTCTCATTATTTCTGAAGAGCAGACCTAGTGGATGAGGGGAGACATCTGGTGGAGAACAATTTGAAAAGCACGGGAAAAATTCCAGAAGCCTCTTCTCACTAATAGGTCCAGAAATTTAGGTCTTTATAGGAATCCTTTACAAAAGGAAAAGGAAAAAAGAACATTTAGGGGTACTAACTTTTCCCGACTTACTTTTCATGGTCTTTTCTTCATAGCTAAAAAAAAAGTGTTTCTATTAAACACCTACAAAATGGACATTTAACAAATGCTTCTTGATTAGGTGTTCAAATTTTTGTCATAAACTCCTTAAAGTCTTAGGTATGTTTTACACAATTGTTTTATAATACAAAATTATATGAATGAAAAGAATGGGTATTTTTCAAGGGAAATATGTTAAAACAAAGACTGTTTTGTATTCATCTTTGTATGTCCAGAACCTAACACAATGCCTGGCACATAGCCACTGATGGATAAATGCTCATTGAATGAATCAACTGCAAGAATGATTCTATAAAATGAAGAGGGTGGACAAGATGATGCCTAAGGGCCCTTCTGATGACTCTGTGTGTATTCACTTCTATGAAGTAGACATATACTCAGTGTCTCAGTTTCTACTATTTGGGAGCTAGTGTCCCTGATTGCTACTCTGACCGCTTTGAGATATGGCAGCCATGTACTACTTTCCCTCAGATCCTGCCTTATTGCTTCTTCTTAAAGATATTTTTCAAGGCCACTCCTGGAGGAATAAATTGCAAAATCAGGCTAGCAACAAATTTACTGCCACTCATACCTAGCTGTGAAGTGGTCAATAAATGCCTTTGGAATG